AAGAAAGAAAGAAAGAAAGAAAGAAAGAAAGAGAAAAAAGGAAAAAGAATTCTCCCCAGAAAGCTCTCTCTTCCAGACTCAACCAATGAAAGAGATCAGGTAAATCAGAAAGAACTGGTTTTCTGGGGGTTCCCTCCCATACTTTACTGACACTTGGAGCTTCTATTTCCAGAAGTCTGGCTTCTGAGAGCCAATAATTTTTATGATACTGTCAATGCAACCGCCAGCTAGGCTCTCTGGTTCAGCCACGTGACTCCTGGAAATGGCCCTCTGGGGTTCTATACTTCTGGGAAACATAAAAACAATACTGTTGCAAATGTACCAGAAGTGACTTCTCATGTAGGCAAACTTAACCCATCTACAGAGGCATGCTGCCTTCTGGATGGTTCTAAGGAGTCAGAGAGCAGGACATTGGTCTACCACTCATGTTTTTTTTTTTTAATTTTTTTTAACGTTTATTTACTTTTGAGACAGAGAGAGACAGAGCATGAACGGAGGAGGGGCAGAGAGAGAGGGAGACACAGAATCGGAAGCAGGCTCCAGGCTCTGAGCTGTCAGCACAGAGCCTGACGCGGGGCTCGAACTCACGGACCGCGAGATCATGACCTGAGCTGAAGTCGGACGCTTAACCGACTGAGCCACCCAGGCGCCCCGGTCTACCACTCATTTTAACTACACACTTACAATCACGGAATCATTCCTTCCAAATTGAATGACAGGGAAAAAAGAGGAGGTTCCCTGACACTTTCATACTGGTTGTGATTAGAAGAACAGTTCATATTTGTACACAAATCTGATCCTCAGAAAAAGAATTCAGTCACCTGGCTAAATCTTTAATACAGTAGTTTCTAGACTGCTGTTACTGGCCTGACCTATTCAGAAACATGGAAATGTAGTATTTCTTAGGTTTCATAAGGTATTCTCTACAGTCACAAAATTTTTACAGTAATTCTTACGCTCTTTCTTCACTATGCTCCTACACACGGAGATAAGAGTGGTTTTCATTCTTACATTTTTAAATGTGAAAAATTGACATACGGTACCAGTTCATAACCATGCAAAGTAAGTGCACGCACACACACACATCACCACCCTCATTCAGACCTTTGAGAGATACCATGTCTTTGTTCTTGAGCTGGGCAACAGCTTCCTAAAAATCACCTTTCTTCCCAAAAGCTACATTTCACACTGCTCTTTGAACAAGCAAAAAAGTCTCCCTTGGACTTTCACCAACACGGTATGGTGCTTATTACAAGATTCAGGCCCTGAAACTGGAGAGACCTCTGAGGGAATCCCTCCTCCACTACTTTTGTGACCTTTAGGCAGTAATTTAACCCATCTGACCTCGGTTTTCTTATCTGTAAAGTGGCACATAAACAGTACCTCTCCCTCATCGAATTGTGAAGGCTACAAAATTAACTGCATTCTGAGGACTTAGCACCAAGTAACTGCAAACATCCTCCAAGACGTTCTAGGCTCTGTCTCAGTTCCTTCATGTCACTGGTGGATATGGTTTCTGCATTTGTGTCTCCTAGAAATATTACTATGCCTTAAAATATGAACGCTACGGGGTAAATATTGTCACAAAGGAGGTACCTGATGGTAGTAATGTATCTGGAGAGCCACTGGCAGATGCTTCAGCGTTTTCATTGTTCTCTCCAAATTCCTTCTTATATATTGACAGCATATATGAGATCCTATAATCCAGTCTGACACTCAGTATAAACTACAAAAGAGCATTAAAAACATAATTTTATTAGCATCATGTTTAAAATGACAGTTCATTACACCAAGAACAACATAACTATTAACATTTCACATGAACTAATTACAAATCTCAGCTCTTAACACTCCAGTTGCATACATGCTCATCAGCCATAAAGCTAACAAGAGTGATGCATTTCCATTAGCCAATGTCAGTAAAATCCCAAAGCAGTTTTTTAGGAAAAAGAAAACGATTCCCCCATGATTACTCTGAATATTCCAGACCAAGGTATCCAATGAGTCTAGATGAAGAGGTAATGATGACTATTTCACTGAGCATTTTGTGGAGGTAACATTGGCTCTGGGAGGAGACTGCTGGTGCTGTGATTTTCATTCACGCACAGAGAGGCTAAACTTCCAGGTACTATAGTGTGGATTCTGGCGCTACCACAATCACTTTGGGATCTAGGCTACAAAAGGACAGCTGAGGAAGCAGCATCCAAATATACCATGGATTAGCTTCATTGGTGCTTGCTTTCCCTTGGATTGTGTTGTTGACCTTGCCTCCTTAACTAACACTTTGAGAGACACTAAGGGAATAAGACAATAAGGTTCCTGCCTGTGCTGGGTACTACGAAGAATGCAAACACTTGAAACCCCTGCTCTCAAGAAGCCTATGCCTGAATTGGGAAAACAAAATATAGCATGGTTAACATAATTATAAAATTATCGAGGGGCGCCTGGATGGCTCAGTCGGTTAAGCATCCAACTTCGGCTCAGGTCATGATTTCACAGTTCGTGAATTCAAGCTCTGTGTCGGGCTCTGTGCTGACAGCTCAGAACCTGGAGCCTGCTTCAGATTCTATGTCTCCTTCTCTGCCCCTCCCCTGCTCATGCTCTGTCTTTCTCTGTCTCTCAAAAATAAATAAAAACGTTAAAAAAGTGTCAAGAACTAAATCAGGCTGCACAGACTTCAGTGGAGATCAGAGAAAGAAAAAGTATGTGCTACAGATTTCTGAGTGGAGAAGGGAAACAATAAAGAAGTGGTTTAATACGAGGCTCCCTTCCATCCCAGCTTGCCTGAAATAAGCCTAGTTTAAGCTTTTGTTGCAGTAAAATTACTATTAGTGCCCCCTACACTCTCAAAAGAGCCTCGTTTGGACAGTAAACAATAATGGACATGTATGGTACCATCTGACCTGATCTCCTACCATTTCTGTGACTCCTGTATCACACCCCTCCCTCCCTGGTCCTTCCCCCCTCCCTTCTTGCATTCTCCCTCTCACACTGCTCTGTTCCAATAGCACTGGATATTTCTTTCTTGCCTTCTCACATTTGTTCAGTGTCCACTTTACCTTGAAAATTCTCTTCCACCCAGAACAACTAGCCTTTGAGATACCCTCCAAGATCCAGTTTAAATCCCTTTTCTAAAGAAGCTTTCCCTGGTTCCCCAATCCAAACCAACCATTCTCTTTTTTTGCTCACCCAACCCATTATTTACACCTATCTGTCTCTTGGCTACCTAACATCTATTATTTATTCTCTGTCTCTCTCTCTCCTCTGCTAGCCGTCTATGCTCCTTATGGGCAACAAACATGCTTCATGTGAATAAACATTTGCTAAGCCAGGTACTAAGAAAGGTACCTGAGGGTACAAAAAAGTTGCCAAGGATATAAGACCTGCCTTTGAAGAGCATATAACATAGAAGGGTAACAAACACCAAAGAGTCTCTTTTACGAGCATGTGGTGAGTGCTACAATACATACAGGTTGAATGGATTCTAGTTAAGGGGATTTCAAAACAGGGGACGGATTGTGGGAAAACAGGCTGAGAGGGGGCCATTGGATTTGGTAGCCTTGAGCAGAAGGGTGGGGACAGAAACTGATTGCAGGTGCTTGAAAGGAAGGGTTTAAAAAAAAAAACTACGTAAAGAACAAATTACTAAGACACTAATTGGTGAAACACATTACATTTTCGTTGAAGATTAGTGCTCATAGACTTGTATTTTATTTTATTTTTTTAAATGTTTGTTTATTTTGAAAGAGAGAGAAAGGGAGTGAGCAGGAGAGGAGCAGAGAGAGTGTGAGACAGAGAATCCCAAACAGGCTCTGCAGTGTAAACACGGAGCCCGACGCAGTGCTCGAAATCACGAACCATGAGATAGTGACCTGAGCCAAAACCAAGAGTTGGACGCTTAACCCACTGAGCCATCCCAGCACCCTTAGATTTTTATTTATAAATAGAACCAAAATAAAAACTTTCATCTTCCAATATATTTAATTGTGAAACATAAATGGAAGGTAGGAAAGGGGCAAAGGGAAGAATAAAAACAAATGCAGAGAAAGATAGTTGAGAGAGGGCCAAAGATAGAGAGAGAGAATGAGAGAGAGAAATAAAAAGAGAGATACATAAAATATGGGGAAAAGAAAGGAAGACCCTGTGAGGAGGAAGAGCTGGCAGGAAGCAGGAGACTTGCGGAAGGAATGTAGCTACAAAGAAATTCTTGAACAGGTGTTCTAAGAAAGAAACGTATTCAAGAGCAGCACATAGGAACTCAGACAGAGTGAAGCAGACCCAGACACGGAACACAAAAATCAGAGTGAGGAAAGAGTTTCAACAAGAAATACATTAAAAGCCCGAAAGAGGCAACAAAGAAAGGTCAGTCCTAATCTGTCCCACCGCAGTAGTATCTCCATCTCATCATTTTTGAGCTGTTAGAGAATGTTTTTCAAACGCTGATCTTCTGTAACTGGGGCTAAAATGAGGTCACATATTTTACAGGTTGTCCAGTGAGTAGGATGATGTTAAGCTATGGGCCCATTAGATCCGCAGGTCAGGTGATCACTACCTTTCTCAGTTTAAGAAGAGGAGAACTAAGTGATTTTTCAGGGTCATGAACACAGGGTTGGGAGGCCTGCCAATATTTCTCAGGATTCAGCCTTTGGAATTCCTGGAGGAAATGTGAAACCCTTTATGATTATAAATCTAATTACTTTAAATAAAAATGTACAGACCCTTCCAGGACTACTAACCCACTTCTGGTAGTTCAGTCTACATTAAATTATGATGAAAGACCTAGTAAATTGTATCCAGAATCTTAATAGACCCTTGAAAACTCCAGGCTCCATTCTCCAAATCTGGAATAAATGCTATAATTAAAGTATCATAAAACTACTTTCCAAACTTAAAAAAATATATAAGAATTCACAGCTACAGTAAAAGGGAATTTATTCACTAAACCAGGGGGAATAAAATAATAATTTATCTCCTTTAAATTCACAGAGCTAGGTATTAGACTATGTTAATTTTAAATATATATATTATTCCTAGCCTCAAAAGCACAAAGATAGTCACTTATATAAAATACAAAAACCAATTATTAACATTTTGCTAATAATAAATAAAATTTTATTTCAGTTTCTTGCTACAGTGATAAACCTGGATACCCAGAATTACATATCCAATTCAATTAAAAATAGAAATAGAGTTAGAATTCAATCTCAAGTTTGCCTGCTCTGAAATCCTTAAATGAAGGTAAAATGAAATCAGGGTCAATACTAAATGAGAAAATGCATATGAAAGAGGTTTTGTCAACCTCAAAGCACTCCACAATTGTTAGATATCACCATTAATACATTTAATGGAAATGAACAAATGTAATTAATATGTTAAATAGTGTCATTAACTTAAAAGAAAGAAATTAGATCAATAGCATTTCAGAGTATTTCCACAGTGATGTGGAACAAAGTCTGTTAAGAAAGTTAAACCAAGAAGCTCAATTAGGTATTTGTCACTTTGCTTCCATTATGCAGCATACCTGTAAAATCTCAATAATCTTCAGTTTGGTGTCCATCACGGTCACGTCCTCAGGCTCTACAGGGCTTCCTTGCTTGCTGGGGTGGATGCTGGGCTGAACGTCAGGCACACTCATGGGGAAGATAGAGCCTCTACTGAGTACCATTTGGGTCATCATCTCTCCCACCCCATGGATGGTTCTCATGACATTGTTTCCTAGCAAAAGAAAAGCCCTTAAGTCAATACACACAACACCTGGGGAAACAGATGTAATATCCAGTTGGTCAAAACCAGACTGGAAACATGACAGGAAAAGTAATGAGATAAGAAAGAATAGCATCCACACTGTTCTGGCTCTTTCCTTACAGACATAGGGAAGGTCCTGACAGACGCATTTCAAACTGACAGATTTTAAAAATGAAAGTTTACTTTTCTCAGAAAATGCTTTCAAATGAGGTACCAAGGATGAGTTGTGGTAGCTCTGATGACATCCAAGGCAGGTCCTTCTGGCACACAGTAAGTCCTCTCAATTGTCACATCAATAAGCTCTAACTTTTATAATAATGTGAAAGAACCCTACGATAAATGAGTTACATGAAAACATGTAAGTGGTGACTAGCATCCTAATCCTACTCTCAAACCAAGGACTTCATAGTTTTGTTTTCATAGTGCTTGTGAGGAGGATTGTTATAACCTCATTTTAAGAAAAAGACCGTTTCATCTGGGGAAGAAGCATGTATTTGCCGATACACTTCCCATTCCTTCAACCCATTTGAATAAAAAAATCATTATTCAAAATCCACAAAAAGCAATTGTTTGAGGTAATCACAAAAACAATTTAGTGACAAACATGATCATTTTCGGGACATCTGGGTGGCTCAGTCAGTTAAGTGTCCGACTTTGGCTCAGGTCATGATCTCACAGTCTGTGGGTTCAAGCCCCGTGTCGGGCTCTGTGCTGACAGCTCAGAGTCTGGAGTCTGCTTCAGATTCTGTGTCTCCCTCTCTCTGCCCCTCCCACTGCTCACACTCTGTCTCTCTCTCTCTCTCTCTCTCTCAAAAATAAATAAGCATTAAAATTTTCTTTTAAATTATCATTTTCAAAAAGGCATCACCCTCTTTCTACATCTTCTGTGTTTGACTTCTCATTCATTTGTCCTCCAGTAAAATTGCATGTACACTCATTCCTTCACTGAGCATGAGCAGCTGTACCAAGGCAACCTCCTGACACTGCTCCAATTTATTTTCTCCAGCCTGACTGCTGTTTCTCACTTCTCAGTTCCTACAACAGGCAGGAAGGATTCAAAAGAACAATTGTCTACTTTTCTTTCAAAACAGTGGTCTTTACTTCATGTATGTTCATGGACCTTTGCCTCAGGCAAAGGCCTAAGAATCTAGCAAATAATTTTCCTTTCCCTAAGAGTCTCAGGGTATATACCAGGGAATAAATAAATACACACGCACACACACACACACACACACACACACACACACGTACACCAGGAGAAAGGGAAATGGAAATAAGATGGGATGAGATAAAACTCTCAGCTCTAATTGAAGAGTATAATCTGTTGGAATATCTACATGATTGGAAGGCAAACCAATAAAGAAAAGGAAAATATTTAAAGGATGACCCCCAAAAACTCTTGATGGTCTTGTGCAGACCAACCCGCAATTATCATCAGGCCACTAGTAATCACTGTGAAAAGTGAAATCCCTTTTAAAACTTATTATCTTATCCATAAATGAAAAAAATACATATAGTAAAGGGTAGTGCTCAAATAGTGCCCTTGCGAGGTGGCAAATAAGTAACAATTTTTTTTTCTTGAGTGGCATTTTCCAGGCAGAAGTTAAGTTTGGTTTTCATTCTGAGAGTCTATAACCTTTTCTTTGACTGCTGTTTGCATAAACCAAAAAGCAGGCAGGCAGTAAGAAAAAATATATGTGAAAGGTAACTTCCAGGTTTGGACAAGATTGAGACCACGGATTTGAAAGAGGCCTATTTTCTACCAGAACAACTTCGAGGAGAAGATTGCTGCATTGTCTGCGGTTCTCAAGCAATCAGAGCAGTTGACTTCTTCCAACCCCCGCCCCCCATGTTTGCCACGTGGACTGCAGGGTTGCACATCTGATTGTTGGCAATGGTTTCAGGTGACCACCATTTAACCAGTACATTTACCTGAATCTTGATTCGAGTATGTATATGTGTTAGCCTCCAAGAGATGCTTTCTTACCACTAACACAGAACAGCCTCCTCTGTTATTCCTACCCCCTGATTCACACAGAAATCCTTGGCACCCACAGTCTCTGCATCTTATTTAGATTTGCATGGAAAATAATCATTTAATCCAAGCGATTATTACACAGAAAGTTAGCCCAGACAATTCTTTTTCCCCAAATACAGATCCTGTCACCAAGAAATTAAAATCTAGAGACCAGAACCATAATAATACATAACACATGTTGTCAGTGACATGGACGGGTTCATTCCGGTTCTACCATATCCTTAGATGCCTGTGGCACGTGGTCAGCACAAAACTCTCCTGACATCTCCATGTATGGCCAACTGAGAGGTCTCAAATTAAAAGATGCTATATTTTCTGGAGTTGCTTGGTGGTGATGAGAAGTGCTTAAATTGTGAACTATCACAGCTTGGAAAACTATAGTCAAATGCCACATAAATCACAGATGTGCAAGGCTCCCAAGTATCCATTTTTCCACAGACAAATTTCTGATTCTAGACTATTGAGATAAGTCACAGACCATCAGTTTTCAATGCTGCCAAAGAAGAAATGTTACCATTTCTCTTCTCAACTATAATTAGTTAATACTACTAAGAAGTTTTCAGTGGAAAAGCTACTTTATTATCATATAAATCTTGTGGACAAACTAACCCCTAAAAGTCCAGCTTTTCTATGTCTTTCATTTTAACCCAGCAGCCAGAATTTAGACTTATGTATAAAGGGTGTTGAGATGGTTTGAAAAAATGGGTTTCAGGTTTGTTAAGCAAAAAGAAGAAAGAAGGAGTTGCTTAGAAATAAAAGCAGATGAGGACGCCTGGGTGGTGCAGTGTCAGACTCTTGATTTAGGTTCAGGTCATGATGTCATGGTCATGAGATCGAGCCCTGTGTGGGGCTCTGCACTGACATCATGGAACTTGCTTGGGATTCTGTCTCTCCATCTCTCTCTGCCCCTAAACTGTGTGTGCTCTCTCTTGAAATAAATAAATAAACATTAGAAAGAAAGAAAGAAAGAAAGAAAGAAAGAAAGAAAGAAAGAAAGAAAGAAAGAAAGAAAAAGAAGGAAGGAAGGAAGGAAGGAAGGAAGGAAGGAAGGAAGGAAGGAAGGAAGGAAGGAAAGCAGATGGATTTTTCAGGTTCTTTTATTTTATGATTGAACGGATAGTTTTACTAATCCTAATTCCCTCAAGAGAAAAACTTGAAAGTAAGACAGGTATGCTAAATGCATAATGCGAATGGTGACTGGGGGTGGACTGAGAACACACTGTTTGTTTCTTTGTTTTTCTGATTGTTCTAATGAGTCAAGTTTCCATTACCAATTCCAGAGAAATAAAACGCAATATGAAATCTACATAACACTAAAGCTGTGCTGACCATGATTTAATTTTACCTATTCAGAAGTCATGTTACTGCTGGTGAGCACTACTGAGTTCAACAATCATTGAGAGTAATGTGATTTTCTAGAAAGTATAACTTGGTTGAAATTAACTTTATACCTATTGGTATTTTATTTAAAATCATCTTTATTTATTATCTTTTTCTATTAGAAATACTATTCTCTTTTAGATACATAAGACTAGAAACAGTAATTTGAATTTGTTTAGATTTCAAAAAGGCATTTCTGGGATCTTCTCAGCATTTATAAGAGATAAGTGAAATATTTGATTAGAAGAGTCTGGGAATAATTTTCACAGCAATTTAATTGCTCTGTGACTACTAAAGTCAGCTCAGCATTTTATAATAAAAGCCAAAAATATGGATAACCCAAAAAACCATTCTTACTTCCCTGAAACATACTTTCATAGTTGAATTTGAAAAAATGCATCTGCTGTTATCATAATTCATTTGAAACAGAATATTAAACCATAAAGACATGACTCAGGAAATCTTCCCTCCCTGCTCAGCAGCCTCTTATAAACCTCTACTTGCTGCTAGACGCCCACACTTTAGAATTGGAGCAGTTTTCTATTTTGAACATTCTCTGGAGCAGTGCTTCCTCCCAGTGGTTGAGGGTTTGGTTATAAAAGGACTTATACACATGCAAAAAAAAAAAAAACCCAAAAAGATTAACATAAGATGAAAGCCTTAATTAAGCTAGGGATACAAGCAGAATAATGGGTACTATGATATCAAAGTTAGATCATGGTATTGTAGAGAGCTAGATATCCAGTCTCTGCCAGGTTTTTAGGCTTTGTGCTGGACCTGGTGGGAATTTACTGTTCCTGCGCTTAGAGTTCCCTTGACCAGATGCTCACTTAACTTGCTTTCTCACACCTTTATGATTTCAGGTACAACGTCACATCCTCAGATAGACTTCTCCTGGCCACTCTCTCTCTGAAAAAGGACTGCCATCATTCTGAACCCACGTACCTGCTTTACATTTCAGTCATGGGGCATTATCACCATCTCACATTATATTTTATATTTGTTTATGTGTTTATTGTATACTCCCCTCAGAAAAACATAAGCTCCATGAAAACAAAGATTCTGCCTAGTTTACTGCTCTATCTCCAACTCCTGGAATAGTACCTGACACACAGCAGTCATTCAATCACTGTTTGCTAGATTAATGTACTAATAAAAGAAAAAAAGATTTGAAAAATGAGTTATTAAAAATGAGATTGACATTTTTACTTTTAAAATTGGATCTTATTACATTAGAAATAGCCCATCTTTCATTAAGGTAAGTTTTTGCTTGCTTTCCTTTATACTTTCCTAAATTTTCTAAATTTTTTCAAAAAGTACATATAATTTCATGTTACTTAAAAACTTTTCCATTAAAAAGAAAGGAAGTAATAAAATAGATATCAGTGAGATAAGGGAAATAATAAAATCTGCCCTTATCAAGGGCAAATAACATCCCATGTACTTTGTTGGGCCAAATATATCCTTGTAGAGTGTGGGCTTGGGGGACCCATCCCACTTTACTCAAGCAGAAAGTGGTTAAGCTTCTGATAGAGGTCAACCAGTAACAACA